ATGTAAATCTGGCTTCGAAGCCGTATTGCCCGAAAGAAAGAGGGAACGCTGGAGAGGTGGCGAGGAAGGACTCGCCTCCTCTCGAGAGTTCACTCTGCTGAAGTGGAAAGAGGGGAGAGCTTTGTGGGTGAAGAGCTTCTCTTGCCTTTCCATAACTGCCGTTTCGTGCAATGCTTGGTGAACAGAGTTCCTTGAAGCAATCTTGGACGGATTGGCTTTCCGAAGTTAAATTTTCGCGCAGATTACATGTTTCACGAGTTCTCTTTCGTTTCCAAATACCCCCCAGTCTCTGCGAAATAGACTCTAAAAAAAAGTCCGTACGTTTACTTTCCCGCACCCAACACTCCGAGATTCAATCACCGCAACTTACGGAGGCAGCTCAGCGAATGACGATGCCCGAAACGTACGTTTAGACCAAACAAACGCAGTCTGAGTTGTGACATTAAGCAATGCAAATCGTCACGCTTGCGTTGCTCGATGTCACACCCCATACTGCGTTTTTTGGTCTAAACATACGTTTCGGCATTGTAATTCGCTGAGCTGCCTCCGTAAGTTGCGGTGATTGGCTCTCCGTGTGTTGTGCGGGAAACTAGGCGCACGGGCTTTTCTTAGAGTGTATGCAGATGTGCATTCTCTCGCGAGGACGAACATTACATTCAATTTCAATCGAAGCAATGACCAAGCCACAGCTTCAAGAAAGAGCGGGTCCCGCAACTTAATTGTGCCCTTGAAGCCCGTGTGTTCGTTTTCGTCCATCTGTTGCTCGAAGCAACGTGCTCGCGGTTTTATCTTTAGTTTCACTCGCGTAGTGTATATTTGAGATATACGTCCAAGCAACATTCGCAGAAACGATTCGGTTAAATGGGTACACACACTTCCACTGCTCAGTGCAGCGATCGGTTCACCCGACACTCCTGGAGTTGGCCGATTCCATCGCTGCAATTTCCCAACCCCTAGGTGCGCATGTTCGTTGTAATCGCTTCGAAATGTGAGCACACCGGTGGGCATACGCACTAAAGCTAAAAATGGCATCGGCTAAGAGCCCTTTCATTGGGCAGCTACCAGAACATGTGAGGGTGCGTTGGACATGTGCTATGTTTGCCCGTCTAAACTAACGAGTGAATGTCTTCAAGACCAAAAACAACTTTGTACTCTGAAATACCCACATCTCTTTCTCTCTCCCTCTCCCTTTCCCCCCCCCCCCCCTCTCTCTCTCTCTCTCCAGTCCTAAGTCGACTTGTACCGTCGACCGCAACCGCATGGAGGTCGAACACGAGTCAACCGATGAAATCCATACTCCACGTCGCGACGGCGCATTCATCCTTCGCGAACACGCAAACGCCAAGGTATGCGATCGCGAAACAAAATAGAGCAAAAAACCTCCACGAATCTAAGCAGGGCTGCAGCGGTGTAAAGTTCTGCCCCGGCGGTATTTTGAATCGCGACTCTCCGATTTTTTTTTTTTCTTCTTGCTGCGCAACTTTTGTTTGTCTTTGCATACCCGTGGCCGGAAGAAAGACTACACTGCAGTCTGCCTCGCACGTGCACGGCGCACATAACCATCAAATCTCTTCCAGCCCGGAGTATTTCGAACCAAGAAGAAAGAGCGCACAAGCTGCCGCCCCGCAAGCCGGCTTCGAAACTCAAACCCAACCGTTCTCCGGTTTACCAAAGTACAAAAGTCAAATATTTTTTAAAGTTAGTTTTTAGACCTATATTTTCGTTGCAATAACACCGCTCGCTCACCGGTCTACCTTTCTATAAGCGTCATTTTTTTTTTTTTTTTTTATTAATCCGATGAAGACAAAGCTCAAAATGCCGCCGTGGATCACCCGACTCCCCGAAGAGCTGAAGCCGCCTTCTGACGACCAGCTTACGACGGCGGACCGCAAAGGACGGCACGAGCCAGTCGAAGCCATTCCAATCCAGTGGCACGGGAGTGTCACGTGACCCCTCGGGAAGAGCGCTGCAACGCGCAGGGAGCGTGGTCACGTGACACATTCGCGTCGCTACCCAACAGCGACGACGACTGGTTTTCCGGCGTCGTGCGCACGCAGTTGCAACTGCTGCTGGAAATTAATTCACAGTGGTAGCCTCGCTTTCTAAGGCTTTTTTTTTATTATTATTTGTTTCGTTGACGTTTCTGCGCGGCTTGTCTTGAAACGAATTGGCCATTCGTTTCTGTCACTGCCCACGCGGCAAGAAAAAAGAATTAATCGATGGCGTCGGCACCTCGACTGTCTGATGTCAGCGAACGGTGAAAAAGAAAAAAAAGAAAAGAGAGGCAGTTACAAATTCTGTCCTTAACGATCGCGAGAGCGTCCATCCCAATTTCGGATTCTCCGTTTCTTTCCTTCTTCTCTCTTCAAATATATTTTAGACAACGTGGGCAGCGAGCCGCCGACATCGGCGGGGAGTCAAGTTTGCAGCGGCTGCGAGAAAGAGACGCGCTCTTTGAAATCGAATTTGTTTCCCGGTCCGTGTCATTTTTGTGTTGCGTGTTTGGGCGTCGCGGTGCGTGAACGATCGGCGTCGTCGCTCGAGGCAGGTGTAAGAAGTATAGTGGTCCGCGTGGTAGGCAAATAATTGGCTTGGAAAGGTCTATTCCCGGCGTAAAGTGCACGCAATCGGTCATCTGGTCGAGGACGACTCGGCTTATTAACGAGCAGGTGGTGGGTTTAAAGACACAAATATCTTCGCGTTGTGGGCCTTGCACCGCGGAGCTCAAATTCACGAACCACATTTCCCTAGGTAACGATTTTGGAGGCAGCAAACCCCTTTTTTTTTTCTTATTCCTACGTCACGGGGGCTATTTCTGAGAGAACTGGAGCAGCCCTAGTTGGTGCGTGACATGAAGACTAAAATGACTATGAATAAAGCACACGAAAAAAAAACATGGAGGTGTACTTTCCGTTTAGGCCTTGGTGTCATCGGCGCGGATCATGTAATGATTTTCACTTCGCCAATTTATTTTTTCAACTTCGTGATAACAATGGGCTGGGACAAGTCAGGACGTCATATCAGTGCAATTGAAAACAAGCCTTTTCTTTTTTCCCATAAAAAAACAAAAATAAAAAAGACGTTCTTATCTCGAGACAGACTCATGCAAAACGTCAATCTAGACTCGCTAAATTTCTCGTCTACAGCGGAAACACAAGTAGGGCTCGCTAACTTCCCGCACTGCCTAAACCAACACGCAACATCAACGTTGAGATGAGATATTTGCTCGTGTTATTTCGAGCGAGCCGGTCCTGAAAATTGTGCCTGGGAGGAGCCAGAAATCCGACGTGCGCTGTTCCATCTAAGTGCACCGTTTATACCGAACGAATATAGAAGCTCTGAGCGTGAGCTACGTAGTTTGAAGCTCCACGTCGCGTATGCGGTATAGGCCACCACAGAAAATTGAAAACTCGCTTTCGGAGGCATTCGCTCCGCTGACTTCGCTTCATAAAACGCTCGTTCAAAGGTATCTTTAGTTCACGGGAAAAGTTGGGGGCCATTACGTGAACCATTATGTGCTACTTCCTTGTGGCGAGTGTCTTCGGGCTTCACCTCAAGAACAAATATTATATTTCGTGTAACTGTCAACAACGCTCTACATTACACGGACGTGTACTCCTTGAGATGACACGTGTGTACCACGAAAGAGCTGAGCAATCACCAAGGCCAAGTCGAACTGCCTCAAGTGCAGGTAACAACCAAGCGCCGAAGACACCTTAAATTAATTGTTTTTAAAGGTCAATTATCAATTGATCATGCAGTACGTGACCCAATTGTGGGCTGATTACACCATAAGGCTTTACGAATCCGGATGTGATAACCGTATCTAAAGAAAAAGAAATACTTGAGAGTATACCACTCTAAAAAAAGCCCGCCGTCTACTTTCCTGCACAACACTAAGAGAGCCAATCATTGAAACTTACGGAGGCAGCTCAGCGAATGACGATGCCGAAAGATATGTTTAGACCAAAAAACGCAGTCTGAGTTGTGACATTAAGCAATGCAAGCTTGACGTTTTGCATTGCTTAATGTCGCAACGCAGACTGTGTTTTTTTAGCGAGTTCGTAGTAAGGCGCCCTCGGTTACGAGTACACATCCTGGTTACGATTGTTCGAAGCCGTTTGTACTGAGAGAGATTGGCCGGTGTCCACGGCTTTGGGCCCGCTAGGACAAGTATATACTTTACAATTAGCCAAACTGGCGTGTAATCCTACTGAGAGACAGTCGCCGTTACTTGTGCGTCCGAAACACAAAATGGCATAGCGAACATACAATTTCCCCGGTGGCCAAGCCCTGGTTGCTAGACTCTCGGCATCTTCAAAAGATCACTGAACACCTTCAGAATGCGGGGGCACTGCGAATGTCCGATTAGTGCAAAGCTTGGAACCGGGCTTTGCACTAACTGCATAATATAGGGGAAAACGTACCTATTCTCCCAGGAATGTAAACAAATGTGCATTGTAAAGGTAGAATATATCACCAGAATACGTTGCTCCATCGCACAAAGGAGCGAACTCGTCACGTCGTTACACCAGAAACTGCCTGCCTCTAGCATATCTCGAAGGCGCTCTAAAAGCATATCATTTGTATAGGTACTCTGTGACGGTGTGGTGTGACCTGACGTCATGGCGCCATGTGACGTGAAGCCACGTTACCACGCGAAGGGGACTCAAATCCCCCTACGTGGCGACCCCGCGTCGTCGGTGTCACTATACAGCATAATGTCACAGTGTCAGGAGCCGACCATCACCTTGATGACGGTTGTCACGTCACACCATGACGCCATCGAGGCTCCATCTCAGGCGAAGACACAAGGGTTCTAAGAGCTAGCCCTACAAATATTACGCATATAATAACGCAAGCAACGAGCAGTGGCGTTACTGGTAACCCGTTGTTCTGTAACTCGCACGAATCTGGCCGTGACGCGTGAGTGCGGTCAGTTAAAGTGTCAAGGCGAGAGATGCTTCGCGACCAGGCGCGCACAGCCGGTCAAGACTCACTAGCATGGCTGAGCGTGGACACGGAGTTGAGCGAGCTGCCGGCCGACGTGACGGCGGGGCTGCTGCCCAGCAGGCTGCTTGCCAGACTGCTGTTGACGGCCTCGGGCGTCATCTTGCCCCCCAGGGTGGCCAGTGTCAGGATCGTCGTGGCCATGTCCTGAGGAAGCATCACCTGCGAACCGCCCATGAATCCGGGACGAAAGGTATGAGGAAACTGAACGTCTCAATATACATGGGGGCAACGCGCGACCGCTTGATTTGACACGCTTCAATCTATAAGAAAGCGTGCGTGTCTGCTTTTACGCAAAGCAACTGGGACAGCTAATCGCTGCACTAACGAAATGACGAAACAAAAAATATGTTTAAAAAACACTGTCTGTGGCTGGGGTACCGATCATTGCGAAACGCAATGCTCGGTGCCATAGAGCAGACTGCTTTCTTAAGTCCAAGCTATATATCGTTTCAGGTTAACTCCAAATGCAGCCGACGCTACAAGCAAATGGGACCAATCAAGCGGCGTCAAGACATCAAGTCACTGGGCCATTTCTGTTTTTGATTGGTTGTAGCGATGATAGAACAAACAAAGAAACATGACGAACAACATGATGGTGCACTTTTGACGCTGTCTGTTTCGTCCCAATAGCTTGAATAGCGTTGGCTGCGTTGGACGTAGGGGCAACTGAAAAGAAAAAAAAATGTTTTTAAACAATATACGACACTGTTTTTATGTTTTTGTTTTTAAACAACAATACGACACTTGTCGACAAATAAATCTTACGCAAAAAAAAAATTATAATAATATTGACGGCGCGAGAATTATTTGAAATGCTCCATGATGTCACGGAATGGTCATACATTCTTTGCACCTTAACAAGATGGCCACACTCGCTCCACCTCAACGTGATGGCCAAGCCAATCCACCTCTCCTCTACGCGCCCGAAATGCCGGGAGACAAAACAAGTGGAAAGGAGGTGACTACCGACTAAATCGGGTCTCGCACCATCAAGAACGAGCTAAAAAAAAACATTTTTGTCACTTATAACTTTTTCTTGACACGCGCTTCCCAACCAGAGTGCATAAAAAACAATTATTTTTCGATTTTCAGTGCCCTTTAAAGGGAAACGAAGTTATTCTATAAAGATATTTTCAGCTCGTCCTTCGCCGAGAGTTCCTCCAACAGATGGCAGCAATTGGCCCTCCCGTGTGCTTTCCATGAAAGGAGACCCCTCAGGATTTTTTAGTGTGTAAACGTGGCACTATTAGCATGGCGGCGGGCACCCGAAGGCGACCAAAACAGCATTGGTTTTGGTCATCGCTGGGGACGTGTCTTTCTACACTTCTGGCTCCACACCTTTGGTGGCATCGTGTCCCCTCTAGGACCTTCCTACCTCCATGACTATTCGCAACTTTCAACGATGGTGGTCCCAAAGTATGAACATGGCGCATCCTAGAGACCTTCGCATCGCTTATCACCCGGGCGAAAAATGCTGAGTCACTGAGCTGTGGACGCATGCGCAGAGTCTGATACACATCACAACGGTGCTACAGCGCATGCTCAGAATGCGTTCCACAATCCAGCAGACAAAGATGGCAGCCCGCAGAAGGCGATCTTTGCAAAGGTCTATACTTCGTCTCACCGTAATTTGGCAAATGGCGACTCGATGCTATGGTAGCGAGACGGTCATTCTATTCTCTCACGATAAACATTTCTTTTTTTTTTTTTATTCATCCGCACGTTGGAGATCTTTGGAGCCAATCGGGGCGAGCGAGCGCGACACGCGCGACAGCTCTCCGCAGGAAGAGTGCGCTCCAACGATACGTCGTCACGTGCTTTGCTCCGACGCGCTGATTGGCTCACGGGGAGCGCAGCCTTGGCCGTTTGCCTCGCTATGGCGAAACGGGGTGGAGTTCGGGGATGATCCCACCTCGCAGCATGAAAGTTCGCTTACACCTTCCTGACATCAAATATGTGAGTTAAGGCTTCAATATCTCTCGTATTCAATGAAATTAATATTGCTTACGAGAGTCACAGACCGAACCTCCTACCGCTGTTCTACATTGATCATCCAGATTACAGCCATTGTGATAGGCTCCACGTGCGCCCATGTCGGAGATGAAACTTGACACTACTACTTAAGGCTGGTTCGCACATTTGTGTTTGAGTGCCGACCGAATGCGTCCCCACCGCACATCACCGCCTACGACGAGAGAACGTATGGCGCCATCTGTCGGGCTATATGTACAGATATCGCCAGAAAACCCGGCGATATCCGCACATATCCAGAATTTTTACGCGTCATTATTTAACCTTAGACTCGACATAATTCTGACGATGCTATAAGCGACCATTTCTCCTATATAGCGCGTAGATTTGATCTTGCAACTACTGCAAAACCTATAGCTCTGGGAATTTGAGAGGGTTCCAGGGCTATTCGATAGATGGCGCCAGTGCGACAGTGTGGTCTCTCGTCGTATGCGGTGACAAGAGGTTGCTGCGAGGCACTTGGTCAAACTCAAATGCAAATGTGTGAACCAGCTTTTACACTGTCCTAAATGCATCCGTATTGTAGAAAAAAAAATTCGCTAATGCGTCATTCGCTAAACAAAATATTTCGCTATATGTGATGTACATTGTCGACTTTCCGCCCCTCGTATACCCCGCGCATATAGATAGAATTTGCCCATCACCGTGAACGAAAACTCGGTGCGCTTTATTAAAGTAGAGTTGTTTCTCGACTTTGATTTGCTAGAGCCCCGTAGAACGCGGCGACGGTGTACTTACGGGTAAAAGTAAAAAGAAAAAAAGGGGGAAGGTTGAACATTTGTACAAGACGATACGGCAGAGTGAACACGACCGTTTATTTCTTCGAGTAGCGGGGCAGGTGTGCGCGTTGACTTGGCACAAAGTTTGCCTAGCTTCGGCACTATTAGCACGCGGGAGGAATTCTCCGAACAAGAGGACGTACTTACGTAGGTGGCGAAAACTTCAAACGAGTTTGTACAACCACCCCAAAACGAAACAAAAAAGGAGGCGCGTCAGAAACGCAATTACGGCTTCACAAATAAACCCGAATAAGGTAAAGCAAGAAACATTCATACAAAAAACCAATGGACCGGAGGGGAACGAAAACACTTCAAACTCCAGTCCTAAAATCCGCATAATGATCAAGAATGCCGGTTTATACGAAACATGGGGTGGTCCGAAACTTTGGGGAATCGATGCCAGCAGACAGACACGGTCTTGCGCAATTGGATAATAGAAACATTTTAAGCATACGGGTATTAGGCTCCTCCAAATGCTATCCCTTATATATATATATATTATATATAAACGAAGACAGATTTTTTAAAGAGAATGAGAAAAAGAGTATTCAGTGTACTCGAAACAAGAGGCACGCAGAGGCAAGCATGGTCGACGTCTGGAAGGCGGGCACCTGTGTTTAATAATCTTTCTAACCTCGCGCGTGTGTAAACACGACAGAGGGGCGCCTTTTGTTTTGACTGGAATTCGCGAAGAGTGTTCGGTTCTTCTCCGCTGCCCTCTTCGTATATTCCGTACAAGCGTGCACATCCTTCTTCTTTTTTTATATTTCATTTCGCAGAACACACGCAGCTTGCACAGGCCGAACAAAAGACGGAGCCAGAAAACACGTATTCGACCGGGCTGCCTGTATCTTCCAATCCGTCATGTTTCTTTTTATTTTCATTTTTTCCACGATATTTCGTTTTGTTTCGTTCTGTTTTTAGGCAGACGCGTCTGTTTACGCTACGAGCCACTTGAACCTTGACGAATGCGTGAAGCACAGTCGAGAAAATTCACGGGAAGGGTACACGAGCAGTTTCTCTGCATACCATTTTACGTGTTTGTTTTCTAGATTTTTTTTTTTTTTTTTTTTTTTTTGTGGTGGCATGTTTTAGGAGAGCTCTACGCCAAAATCAGGCCTGAACTAAAGGTGAATGGTGTGCAAAGGAATGATGAGTCAAGGTTATGAAACGTATATTTCTGGCCCTTGGTTTTTAGAGCCAAACAAATGTGGTTTTTCTAATCACTTCATTTTTGGAATACATGATCGGATCATCTTTCAACACGAAAACTTGATAACTAACTCTCCTGCTCCTAGCTACTTTTGGGTCAAGGTGCATAATAACAAGAACTTTACAAGGTGAGCTAAAGCATTCATCATGACGAGACTGCATGCGCTCAAACGTCAGGCCCAATGTCTGAAAATATTATGATTCACCAAATGGCATCGTTTTCTGACGTTGCTTCTCTTTGGCAGTGAATGATTTAACATAGAACTTAATTGTGGTGTCCAAGGCCAAATAAATTATCCGATGAAATTTTTTATGCAGTAAGAAGCCACCGTCATCTAAAACGGAGATTTATGAGATCCCTTCTCTCGGGTGAGTTAGTTCTGCCGCGAGTACAGTTCAGGCAGCTTTTCACCAAGTGCTAGGCATTACGAAGTCGGTGGCAATCAGTGCATCGAACGACGTTTCATCGACAGTTGGTTTCATCGACACGCTATGTTTCATGGGTGGCACTCAGTTGGTCGAACGAGGACCCGCCTCGACCACCTTCGCGTCTGGTTTCTGGATTCACCTGAGGGTGGTTGCCCATCAGCTGATGCGCTCCGTGGAAAGGCACAATCCCGTCGAGTCCAACGGACGACGACGAGGAGGTCGTCCTTCCGGGCACTGTGGGGACCCTAGAGCTCTCCACATCGGAGTGGACGTGCCCCCCGTGACCTCCGGGACCGCAGGGCGCCGGAGATAGCCTCGGCGGAAGACTCCTGGAGGACGCCAGGTCCGCCGTCGAACTTCCGCAACTGGATGCCGGGCTAAGGGGCGGAGGTTGACCGTGGGCCGGCCCTCCGGAGCCCTGGGCCCCGATCAGGCAGGATGTGAGCACGGGGGGACCGCCGCCCGAGAGCCCCGCCGCCTGCTGCGCCGACGACAGTTCCTTGGCGAAGTTCTGGAGCAGCGCCTGGCTGCCCATCAGAGCTCCGGATGACATGCTCTCCAGGATTTTGCCTGCAAGCGAAGAAGGGTGAGGAGAGAGTGAGACATAGTCATTGTTTGAAAATGTAAGCTTTAAAAAAAACCATGCGTAACTATTATTATTCCTGATGACGGATGAAACAACCGTACTCGTAAGGAAGAGGGGAAAGAAAGAAGCTGCTTATCTTGAATGAACTGTTTCCGAACGGCATACGCAAGGCTGGCTTGTGGTTCGGTGTGTTAAAGAACAACATAGCGCAGCGACTGGATAGCTTACTGGCGTAAACCTAACCTAAAAACCGAGCCCAGACTGTTATTATGTCGTGTACGATGGAACATTACGCCAACTGACACTGGAAATGCTCTGCGGTGAGCTGCATTGATTTCTTTATGTCTTCGAAGTTCGTCCATATCCCGTAGTCATTGATGGTGTCAACGACGGTTTCAGATACAAAGACATTTTCTTTCAGAAACACTTCATGGACGCTTATATGTTACAGTCGTTCGAATGTAGCTGGTGCCGGGTAAGTTTGCCGAACTTTGTTTATGGGCTTGCGTTGACGTCCCATCTCCTGCCACTTTGGTGGCTATGCTGGAGAGAGCGATCCTTCGGCTACATTTATTTCGCACCGCCGAATTTATTTTTGTCGTCAAGAAAAAATAGGGGTTATTACAAGCAGAGAAAAATAATGTCACACGCACCCCAGCTACCCAGCTACCCCAGCTAATGTCACACGCGACCCCAACTACCTGTAGGGGTCGCCACCATCGGGCAAATATGGCAGTCTTAGACCGGTCGCGCCTTGCCATGTGCCGTCAGAACCCACAAATCTCGTGTTTCAGCATGCAAGCCTTAGACTCAAAATGGTTTGCCTGTCCCAATTTTCATTCTTTATACGTTTCAAAACCTGCGCCGATCTCTTGGCGTCAGCGATTTTTTAGACCTCCTGGCGAAGCGACGGCAGGGCTGCGGTGCCTATGAACGTTAACACACACACAATGTCTGGCTCACGCGGTATAACGTATAGATCAGCGTTCAGAGCGACCTGAACAACACACTGATAACGACCGCAGCGACAGAGTCACCGGAACAAGCGTTCCATCGCGCTAACAGCCGACAGCATGTAAATCACGTAAGCCTCAGGGGGAACGATCAGGAATCGTGAAAGCCCTTAAAGGGGTTGTGCAACGATATTCAATTGGAATGTTTTTTTCACTTTACACGAGCTTACTGGCACTAGTGGGACTCAAGGATACTCGCACGCAACGCCATTGACCAAGACACTTCTTTGTTGCGCTGTAATTTCGAGGGCAAAACCGAGTGTTTTCATTGAATCTCTTCTTCGCAAGACCTAATGACGTAGCTGGGCGGTAGCAGTACCGCCCAGTGGCGATATTAGAATGCGGCTCATAGATTAGACCCGAGCATAGCGTGGACACTCGACTTGGGCTCGTGATAATCGATAGCTCAAGAAGCATTCGGGTAGTGTCCTGTGTCCAATCGTTGCATTGACGACAACAGCCGAACCGTAACAATGTCTGGAATTCGGCGCGTGTCCTGTGCCTTGCCAACCCCAGCGCGTGGCTATGATCAACATTGGCGGCATATAATCGGCTTCAGATCACGTGGCCGCTTGTTCCGGCTGCGAGTTGAGGGGGTGAACGGTGCTCGTTTTTCTTAATTTGTTTCTGCGACTTCGATTGCGTGTGATGAAAACCGAACGGGTATTTCACAGGTCATTAACGCCAGAGATTCGTTCTAGGCGGTATTTGCGCAAAACAAAAAAATTCGTTGCCTCGCCTCTTTAAGTTCAGTGTTTTCCATCTACACATGTGCCGCGCCCGTTTTGCTGGAGCCGCGGAATAAAACTCCAAACAAAGCGCAGCCGACAACAAAATAATATACGCGCGAGCCGCGCGTCTAACGTGCGACTGGCGCCGTTCGCGCAAGCCGCGCTAATAAAAAAAAGATGAGAATGTGTAACAAGTGACTGCGCGCTGCGGTTGCGATTGAAGGAACAGGAAAATTTTTTAGACAATACGCGGCAATCAGTTCAATCAGCATATGGGCGTCGAAAGAAAACGAACCGCAAAATGAACTACTGAAATCGAACGGGTCTGTATTGATTAAAAAGAAAACAAAACATTTGGTATCCAACGCACCGCTAGACAAAATCGGTTAAAAAGGCCGCACCGACACCGTTCATTCTTGATATTGCATATTAGTTAGGCGGCACATCGGCGTGCAGACGAAGCATTTGAGACTAGAAACAATCGCTGTCACAACGTAAAGCTCTCGTTATTCGCGACGCCTCTGTTTCTTTATGGCCGCATGCCTCGTGATCCGCCCTTGTAATCATCGTTATTATGTCATTAGCGTCGAAGTCAAACTGATGAAATCAACGTCAATTTGCATCACACAAAGACGTGGGACGGAACGGGCAAGCGGCCAAAGCGAGTTACCTGTACGAAGTCCAGTCTACGACGAGGCTGACAACCGTCGTCGCATTGTATACAGCGTGCACGAAGCAGGCGAAGGACGGAGAGGAGACCCAGCAGCGCCTTGTCTAACCGCGTAAAACGCTCGATCAACGGCTCTACGAAACAACCCACCTACTGACGTGTACCATTTCTGTGAGAATTCTCGGACACAAACACCGTCCGTTTCCGGAGCGTTGTGATCACGTGGGGTATTAAGCTGATACTATACAGCTACGACAGAGTCACGGGGACAACTGTTCTGTCGCGCAAACCACCGACAACATGTAATCGCGGAAGCCAGAAGAGATGAGCGAAATCGCGAAAGGACCTTCTCCGGCCAGTTCAATGTTTTCCCGCTAGGTGCCGTCCGTTTTTGCTGGAGTCGTGAATACTCGGCGCGTGTTTTTGTTTCTATCTCGTTTTGCGCTTTCAATAGTCGCCTCAACCATATTTACATGAGCCTCTGCGACAATATCTGGTTAAGTCAGTCCCTCTTTTGTCTCTTGTTTTTTTAGAGCAAATATATACTATGGTCTCAATTAATCCTATCATGCTGCGATTTTTTTTTCATAAACCCGATTATTTATTTTGTTGCCTCGTTAGTCACGTCTCGGCCAAGTCAAAACCAGCGCAAATATGTTTTGCAAACTGCGCAGGTGCGAACAAAAACGATGGCCAAGGCACAGACAAGAATCTATAGGCTTGCCCAATTTCTTTGCTCAAAGTCGCGTTGAAAAAAAAATGAAAAAAAGGTATATACAACAAAAATGTATGCTCAATGGAAATACCAAGAAAACTAAGACAATAAAACTCATCTAAAACGAGTTGGCGCGCCCCATATTTTTTTTGTTTCTCTTCCTCATGCACGCACGTGTGGATACATTCCAATTTGTACGAACGTTATCAATTCAACAATGCTCATTCTCACGATTAGTATCAGGATCCAAGACTCGAATTAAATCGAGAAACGCACGCGAAGTCAAACAACGCGAGAAAGAAAGAAACAGACTAAAAACAAAGCCCCCCCAAAAAAACCGGGAATTAAATGAGAGAAAGCCAAAGCTGGCGGCCGAGCAAATTACATTTCCAAGTTGCGAAGTGGCCGAGCCCCTGCGAAGAAGTGACAAGAAATATGATGGATGGCGAAAAAGGCGCTCCAGTCGGCGGCGGCGCTGGCATCGTTGGAGAATTAGAGGAACTGGAAAAACACGCATACACAAACACAAAGAGAAAAAGAAAAAAAAAAAAAGGTACACAGGCTTCGGCGCGTGAAGCTGAAGAACACCGTGCCGTGTCGAAGCAAAAGGAAACCGAATTAGCTTTGGAATCCACTTGTTAACTTGCCGGACTGGGGCGGGGAATCGGTGAATCTAGGCTGACTTCACGGGCGCGAGAATCGAAAAGACTCACGAGGCAAAAGCAGTCGGGGAGGCAGTCAGTGGAAGAAGGTATACCGCGTCGTGTTCGCATGCATCGGATCGAGAACGACTTCGAAATGTATCTTCCCCTGCTCCATGCATGCCTGAATAAGGGGAGGGGGGGGGGGGGGGGGGGGGGGGGGGGGGGGGGGCTGAGGAGGCGTGTTTTGTGCGGCATGGGTTGTTCCCGATTTGCGCACGATTCGATTTGTTTGGGCTCTAGAGGCAGCGATGTATATTTCGGTCACGTTTCGTTAATACAGGCACCTCCGCCCCCCCCCCCCCCCCCCCTTTATCCAAAAACAAAACAAAATCAAATCGTTTATAGTGTAAGTCGTTTACAATAGCGGGTCAAAAATGCACGTATTTACCTAGTTCGTCCCCGAAAACGTTGCCCATACATACATAAATAACGGGGTATTTGTTTGCAGCGACCGCGAACATGCAGAGCGTCATCAGGTGGAAATCGTTGGGATAAGTCGAACCACATAGATAGTTCTTTCCTTTCCAAGGATGCAAGCATCGATAAATACCCACGCCCAAACGCGTGTGCCCTTGGGATACTTTCAATATAGATGCCGTAAAGATGCGCACTCAAAACCCTTTACCTACCACCACAAATCAGGTTTCTAAACCTCCTGCCCGTTTATCCTTCAGCTCCCCTTTTTGAAAACCACTCGTCGCCGTCATCAACCTTTTGACGGGTACATTCAAATATATTGACTGCCTTCATTTACAAAAAGAAAACCAAAACGAGAAAAAGAATGCACCGCGATGCAGCGAAAATACGGTGAGAGCTGCCACAGTTGGTCACGACTCCTTGCTTCTTGGACACAGCCAAAAAACCGCGAGGAACATTTAAAAGAAAACACGTAAAACGCTTACACAGAGAAGAGGACTCGAGCTTGTCGAATGGACGGAACGAATTGAAGGAGCCACCTGTCCTCGTGTTCTCCTCGCTTTATTTTATTTTTTTTTATGACACACATTGCATTATTTGTTTTTACTTGGTTCGTCGTCCGTTTCGTTATTATTGGTTTTTGTTTATAGCTAATGTCCTTATTGAGCCGCGTCCTTTTCCTCTCTTCACACACCCTCCTCCTCCTCCTCCTGTTCGCGAGCGAGCAAATAGAA